ACCCCCACCCCCACCCCCACTCCTGGCAACCTTCAGTTTGTTTCCAGTTGTTGTTTTTTTATTGTTGTTTTGTTTCTTAGATTCCACATATAAATGAAATCGTATGATAGTTTTCTTCCGGTCTCAAATTTCACTTAGCATAATATCCTCTGGGTCCATCCATGTTGTTGCAAATTGCAAAATTTTACTCTTTTTTATGGCTGAGTAATACTCTATTTTAAATATATGACACAGCTTTTGATCCATTTGTCTCTCCATGGACACCTGGGTTGTTTCCAAATCTTGGCCTTTGTCAATAATACTGCAATGAACATAGCGGGCCTGTGAGCATTTTGAGAAAATAAAGTACATGGTCTTTTTAATTTAAAAAGAATTGCTCTCCTGGATAAGGATTAGATTAGGTGGACAATCAATAGTGGATTAAAGAAGTTAGGAGTTCATTTTTCCTCTCATGTAAAAGAAGTTCAGGGACAGGCACCTCAGGGGTGGCAAGGAAACTTTACATCACCGGGGCGCCAGGCTTCTTTTCCGTGGTTACCCTGCATCTCATGGTTTGGAATGGCTGCTGAGAGTCCAGCCATCATTGCCACATTCCAATCAGTGAGAGGAGGAAGGTAAAGAGAATCACATTCAATATTTCAGTGTCAGCCAGAACCTAGCCATGTGGCCATATCTAGCTGCAACTAATGCTGTAAAATATAGGCTTTACGCACAGTGGCCATATGTGCCATTAAAACCAGAATTCTATTACTTAGGAAAAGAGGGGGAAATGGATATCAGGGACCAATTAGAACCCTCTGGAACAACTACCCAGACTTACTAATGTAGCAAATGAAATTTCTACTTTTGTAATCCTAAAATTATTTTCTTCGATTTATTTCTTTTCTCTGCCATCCACATGTGATTCCTGTAAAGAATGTTCAGTTCACTTACAGTGAACCTGTCAGCATATGTGTTTGCATATATCTTGGCCTGAATCATCTCTTGCACAAACATAATTCATGCTGAAATGTGGGAAGGAATTGAAAGCATTCCTAACTCTCTGCTTAAGGCTGGGTCCAATATTTCTTCTTTCAGCTAAGGCCAGTGGTTCTCAACCTGTGGGTCGCGACCCCTTTGGGGGTCAAAAGACCCTTTCACAGGGGTTGCCTAAGACCATCAGAAAACACATATAATTACATATTGTTTTTGTGATTAATCACTATGCTTTAATTATGTTCAATTTGTAACAATGAAATTGGGGGTTACCACAACATGAGGAACTGTATTAAAGGGTCGCGGCATTAGGAAGGTTGAGAACCACTGAGCTAAGCATTCAAATTATATAGACAATGGCTAAACAGGGATTTGCATAGTGTGGCTGCAACCTTGAATTATGTTATCTCCATGAGTCTGAGACTGTCCTATAAGCTCATAACTGCAATTTTCTTTGAGAGCCATCAGTCTGGTTTTGTGAGTCTCACAGGTAGAATGAAGCTATACTGACCCATAAGCATCCTCAAAGATTCCTAGATTCATGGAATTTTATTGCTAAAAGGTATCAAGAGTCCAACTCCCTCCTTGTACTGAGAAGACTCAGAGGAGTTAAGTAACTTGCCTGAGGACACCAAGCTATTTGGTTACAAAATGTACTTTGATAATTCCTCCAGGCTCAACTCTCCAAATGTCATGAATACGATGTGACCCGTGGCTGTTCAGGCCCTACCTTTAGGTGGGCCCATCATCCTTGTGGTCCTACCAGATTTCCCATTGACATGCAGAGGCAGCTTCTGGAGTTCTGTCAGCCCTGCCAGGAGAACACGTGTGGTGGCAAGTCACCTCCTCATTTGCAGGGTAAAGGGGCTTGACTGTCCCCGCTTGTGTGTAGTAAGAGAATGGAATGTGCTTTAAGGGCCGGAGTCATTGTTTCTTTTAAGATTTTTAGATCTCCCAAATAACAGTCCTAAGCCATCTCTCTCAGGCATCACGAGCATCTAGGGAACTCTGATCATTCTTTCTTTTTTTTTTTTCATGTTACACAGGACAGAAAGATGAATACACTTATAAATCATCAAATTGGAAGGGACCTAGAGATCATTATTTTCTCAATTTATTGATTTCTCAATTGCAAAAACTTAATCCAGAGTGATGAATTGGATTAGCCAAGATCATATTTCTTCCTTATGATATATGGAAAGCCAAACCTTAAAATACCATAGTTTGTTTCTGAAAATATTAACTCTTACTATTTACATAATAGACTAGTATCTGAAAACTAATTGCCCACTTAAGATGAAAGATGGAAAGTGTGGAGTTACTCCAAAAACCTCCTAAATTTATAATGACACGGCATGGGCTAGGTTTATAAAATATTTTATTTACAAAAATAGTCTTAATAAAATTAATACAAAACCATTTTACAATATAACTTATATAACTATCTTCTCAAAAAAAGTGACATTTGATTATAACACATAAACTACATTTGTATTTGTTAAGTCACATTGTAGTATAAATACGTTTCACCATCATTTTTTTTTATAATAAGGTACATGCCAAAAACAAGGAACAATCGACAACAAACGTTATTTCATTATTCTTCCGATGTAAAAGTCATCTCTGGCCAAAACAAAATGAATCAAAAAAAAAAAAAAGTAAAACAACTGTCCTGTTCAACAACACAGTCCTTTTTGATTATTTGAGAGTTTATCTGACAAAGACACAACATTAATTTGAAAGCACCGTGGCATAAAGTCTAGTAACAATATCCCCAAAAGCCTTCTCCGATGTCTTCGCTCAACTGTTTATTCAGTATTTTGCCAAGATAAATAAAGATTGATCTCAACTCTCCCCTTCATTCGTCTCAAGTGTTTCTGAATATGCACTGTGGCTTTTAGACCTTCCCACACTGGCATATGTTTAAAAAGTGAATTTCTTTCTTTGGCTTCAAGTAGAGTTTCACAATACTTAGGAGACATACTGAGCCCCTCCATGTGGCTGAATCTCTGTGACTCCCCACCCGACCACATTTCCCCGGATGTGACAAGAGTCTGCTCCTCCCGTCTCTCTTATCTCTTCATTGCTGAGAACTCGATCCCAGATATTGAAGCCGGTGAGTCTCCCAGAAAAGGCTAATGTTTCATCAAAGCCGCCGCCCACACAACAGCCGTTCTTCTCTTGGCCAATCTGCAGAATGCCTCCCTCCGGAACAATGTGACCTGCGGCCAATCCCACGGTGGTGGCCACCAGTCCACCGTTTACCCACAAGGACACGCGCCCTTTCTCAGAGTTCCAGGTGCTGCACAGATGGGTCCACTTTCCCAGGGAAATCACAGTATCCGCAGCCAGTCTGTTCTCCTCTCCGCCCACCACCAGCACGATGGCCTGATAGTTGAGGTACAGCTGGATCTCATATGGATTCCTCTTCGTGCCATAGGAAAACAGGATGGTTTTGTTTAATACATCTGTGGCTTTGACCCAAATGCAGGCAGTAAAAGACTCGAGCTTCACTGGTGTCGCCGGATGCACGCTTCCAAAAATCTTCTTGGAACGCATTGGGAATAAAATCGCTGTTTCACAGCCTAGAGTAGCAGGAAAATAAGAAGAATATGAAAAAAATATATAAAGGCATTCAGAAATGATTCTGGCATTTAGGTATGTTAGCCTGGGCATTTTAATGACTACAACTGAAAATTAGATTGCAGTATTGCAATATGACGTGAGGGGTCTCAAGTGTGTTCTCTGTGGAGCAGAGAAAACAGAAAGAAGGGAAGCCAATTGTCTCATTCAATGAAGCATCTACTAGTAAATGGAGGAGAAGGTGTGCAGAGGAGCCAAATTGTCCAAACCCACAGAATGATGAAAATCATGCTTTCGTAACTATTTCCCCTCCCAATTAGCTTTCTTTGTTACAACTTTAAAAAAAAAAATGTTGAGTCACTATGCATTAACTTCAAATAATGACACCATAATTTCCAAGAACTCAGAGCCAAACTCGTTTCCTTCCCCTTGACTTGTTCTCCAAACTCCCAGAACAAAAGCCTGTGAAATTCAACGGATCTAGCTGAGCCCATTTAGCCATTGTTAACAAGCATTTTTAAACAAAAACTTTAGGACAGTCGTGCTGTTGCTGAATACATTTTAATATACCACATGTTCTCAGATACTTATAAACTTTGCAAAAGTTTGTAGAAAACTATCTTTGAAAGGCAAAAATGTATAATGACGATGACTTTTATTGGGTGCTCACTATGTTCCAAATACTGATCTTAACATCTTACAAATCATTTTAATCCTCATATCAGCACCGGAAATAATCAATATTCCCATTTGACAGATGAGAAAACTGAGTCAAAGAGCGCTAAGTAACTGAGCTATGTTTACATAGATGGTAAGTGGTAAAACTAGGGTTTGGACTTGGGCTGCAGAGGCCACAAGCTTGACTTGCACACTGCATTGCTTTTTAATGGTGCAAGAAACCCTGGATTTGGCTAGAACAGCTGGAATTCAGTTTGTTGCACTACTAGTAAGCTGTGCAGCTTTGGATGACCCTCCTAATTTCTCCAAGCTTTCCTGTTTTCTATAAAAAGCTCTCCCTTCCACTTGCCTTCCAATAGTCTGCAAGTCAGCAAGTAACAACTATATAGCACTCAGAAAGAGCTGTGTAGCCCAAGGATATGCTTGAAAACTCTGACTTTGTCCTTATGCCTGTAAACACGATTTAAGCAGCGATAGAAACCTTTAAGGAAGAGTGAATTCTTCCCAGGGGATTGGTGGAGAACAGATTTCTGCTAAGGAGCACTTAGAAGGGACTTTCAAACTTAGTGGTTGGGAGCTCAGTGAACTCCCTCCTCTGTCCCTCTCCAGGTCACAGGTCTGGTAAGGGAGCTGGGAAACTCTGTGCTAAAACCTTGACCAGGTGAGCCCTGCGTTATGCTAACCTCATGTATGTCTGCAAGAACACATATGAGAGCTAAACTAGGACTAGGTATTCCCTTAGCAACAACGTGAAAAAAAAATTTGTCATAAAATAGCTTTGAAAAGTGAACTTCCAGAGCATTTAAAGACTAACTGGTGAATAGACAGAACCAGCAGGAACCAAAGGTCCATGCAAAGTGTGGTCAGCTAAGTTAAATGCCTGCAAGTGGCTAAGGGTGAGGCTCTGTCCTAAGAAAATTAAAGATGTAAATAGAGAAAATACTGAGATTCGTAAAATCCTGTAAAAGTAACTACCATATTAAGGCACAAAATGGGTCCTGTCACACATTGGCATTACCTTTTTCACTGAATAATTTGAATTTTTGAAGATTTTTTTAATGCAGCGTTGAGTCTTTATTCCAATGAAATTGGTAGGTGCATTTTTTTTTTCCTAGCTATGTTAAATAAATCAAACAAAGATCACGGAACAAGAGATCACATTATGCCTGGGCGTTTGAAAGATAGTCCCTGTAATGTTTCAGAAAAGTAGTATTCAAGAGGGTGCCTACTGCAACCTAATTAACTGATTTCCTGTTTAGCTAAGCGCAGGCAGTCAGGGCTGCATTCCATAGCCTTCCTTCATTGCCTCTCAAAGGCCCCGCTTCCCCTGCAGGCTGCCCTGGCTGCTGGAGTTCATGGAGTGGAACTGCATGCTGGCAGGTTTTTTTCTGATTTCTTTTGGGAACCAGTGATTGAGGCTCTTGATATCTCTTTAAAATGTCAGACACTCTCTTGTGAAATGGCTTTTAACTAATAGGGTTTCCTGATTATGTTATCAAAGACCCAACAAAATTAAAACCAGGTTCTTTGGGGGCCGGCAGAATGATTAGGAATCCCTTAGAAGCCAAGCTGGCAGGAAACCAATGGAGGGAAAATCAAAGCATGTGGATAAATCTGTTATTGGATTTAATAAAAAAATTAACATTTTGGAACTCAGAAATACATCCCTCCTCTGCTCTAACTAAAATGCATTGGCCTAATTCTTTAGTTTTCCAGGTGCATGACATGTGCAATGCTTTGCATGGTTTGCAAAAGACAAGAAATTTCATTCATTTAAAATAGCCACAGCATTATAATTTGCCTTCTTGTCACTTACACTGAGGATCTATTGTATATTTGATAGTATGCTTTCCTCTCTCTTCCCAAAGCCCTACTTAATATTTAAGAAAATGTGTTCCGTCCTGATAAACAATCCTCAAGTATTGAGGGAAGACTGGTGCTCTGGTACGGTTTCTGTGATTGTAAATGAAATGTGCTCTCGCACATGCTTATGATTCCCCCACACTCCATCCAATCAGAGCAGCCCTGTCGGGAACAGAGGGAAGGGTGGCATTGTCTGTCATTGCTTTCAGTCCCTGAGTTTCCCAGGAAAAGTTCAATTATGGTTTCTTACCCAGAACACTGGTTTTCTAATACAGCCCACAAGTGATACATCACCATTTCCTAGAAAGTTTGACTTATAAAGGAGTGTTACTTAGCTCCAAATCTTCTCTTTATTTCTTTCAGCCATCTTTAAGATGTATTATTCCAGGTTCATGTGCACTTGGGTATGACGTGGGACTTTGACAAATTGCATCTGGTTTGAACTACCGCTCTCCAGTTTGGCCCTGACCCCTCCGCTCCCCGCCCCCCACCCCCCAAAAAAAAAAATCCTTGGGGTGGTACCACGTATCCAATTGGTTCCTACACTATTGGTTCCGCTTTGGATCCCTCAGCATCCGGCTTATTCCAGCTGGGAACTCCGCTCACCAGCTAACTCCACAGACCCTGGGGCTGGGGGCGTGGGGGGCTCACAAATCCTACCAACCCTTCCTGAGATCAGATTCAGCCTCAAGTCTCTTGCTCAGAACCGGCGGGGAGAAGAGGCCGGACCAGGGATTGGAAAACATCCCTTAACATTAAGTCTGGGCCCCGAAATAGCGCGGGGAACCAGAGCTCCCCTAAAGACAGGCGGGCTAAAATTAGAAGAAGTGGAAATCCCTAACGGAGGGAAGGGAAGGGAAGCGAGACCGCCCGCTGGAGAGGCCAGGCTTGTAACTGGCCAATAGAGCCCGTCCTGCCGGGCCTGGTGGATCCGGTGTCAGCAAGGGGCCCTCGCCTATTTCAAGACTATGATGGTCACGTCCACAGCCATCTCCGGGGCTCCCCGGGGCTGGGAAATACTTTTGAAAGCCAATTTCCTTGCCATGTATAGTGTGTCTGAGCCCTGTGGCCATGCGTGGAGAAATAAGGGGTCGGGGGGAGGGAGGGAGCGAGGGAGGGAGTGGTGCGCCTGTGTGTGTTGGCCTGGAGGGTTGCCTGACGTGGCTCCCCGCAACGCGCGCTCGGAGAACAAAGCCGCAGGGACGTCCCCCCTTGGCCTTGGTCCTTACCTGCGGGCAGCCAGCGCCGGGCCGCCCAGCCCTGCA